CGACGTGGACGCCGACCCGCGGGACCTGGAGGCATTCGCCGAGCGCTTCAAGCAGCGACGCATCAAGCTGGGGGTGACCCAGGCAGATGTGGGCTCCGCGCTGGCCAACCTCAAGATCCCCGGCGTAGGCTCGCTTAGCCAGAGCACCATCTGCAGGTTCGAGTCCCTCACACTGTCGCACAATAACATGATCGCGCTCAAACCCATCCTGCAGGCATGGCTCGAGGAGGCCGAGAAGTCCCACCGCGAGAAGCTCACTAAGCCTGAGCTCTTCAATGGCGCGGAGAAGAAGCGCAAGCGCACGTCCATCGCTGCGCCAGAGAAGCGCTCGCTCGAAGCCTACTTTGCCATTCAGCCTCGGCCCTCCTCTGAAAAGATCGCCGCCATCGCGGAGAAGCTGGACCTGAAGAAAAACGTGGTGCGCGTCTGGTTCTGCAACCAGAGGCAGAAACAGAAAAGAATGAAATATTCCGCCGGCATTTAGAAGACTCTTGGCCTCTCCAGAGACGCCCCTCTCTTCGTCCCCCCTTTTCTCACCTTCTCTCTCCTGCCTGTTTTCACTTTTGGCGACCAGAAACAATTCCAGTAAATGTGAATCTCGACAAATCGAGGACTGAAGAGGAAGCGAACAAGCGAACAACTGAGCCCAAGCCGGTGAGAATGTAAGACAGTTTCTCAAAGGAAAGAATAACAAAAGATGGCATTTGTCTGTTGTAGCAAAGTTGTCCCTTTGAACCCCACCTCGGATCCTTCAAAGGAAATGTGGAGATGGCTGTTTGCAGGAAGGCAGACGAGACAGCCTTTAAAAAGTCCACAAGAATGATCAAGTAAGATTTGTTTTTATTCTTACAGACATCACCCCTGTTCAAGTTTAAAAGTACACTTTGCAACTATTTTTCAGAAATAGAAATTGATTCAGGACTAAAACTTTAAACTAGAGTTGATGCTTAATGTGATAGAGACATCTCTAAAGTATTTTGAATTTTAAAAAAAGATGGCAGATTTTCTGCATTTACACTGTATATTATATATATATTTTTATTGTGGTTCTTACCCCCTTTTTCCTTCTCTGAAGTGTTAATGCTTAAGAAAAGAGTTGCGCCTGCTGTGTCCACTGATCTTGAAAGCTATTATTGGTTATTGCAGAACAACCCTCTCTGTAAATTATTAATTTATCTCTCTAGCAACTTAATTTTGTGCACATTCTAATTAATTAAACTTCTTTCGTCTAAAAAAAGTGGGGGAAATGTATAGCTAGTAACATTCAAAAAATTTTGTTTGATGAGTTTACCGAATTTTTACAGCTTTCCTCCTATTCTGTGTTCCTTTTGACCCATTTGTATATTCTCACTTGAATGAAGATTGTTTTTTTCTTTGTTTTTACTGATAGTGTTCTGATTTGTGAGTAGACACTCAATAATGGATGTCTTAATCGTGTAGACCTGATTCACTGTCTGAAGTATTGTTTACTTCGTTACATATTTAATGGGGATTCCCACATTGTCCCCATGACACATGAGCGCTCTCACTTACCCTTACACACACACACACACACTCACACACACCTCTAACAGAAGGGAAGAAGCAGTTGGAAGCATGACTGATGCACCATTTTCTAGCTTTAGGTGCATTTGCCACTTGGTGTTTGCCCTTCGCATTTTAAGATTTCACCAAGGTATTTCAGTCTTCCAGTTTTCAATTGCTTTGTTGGCTACATGTTAACATTTATAGGAATCCTTCAGTTTTTCCTTTTGGAGGTTTGTTTGTAGAAAAACTAATTTGAACTATAAGAAAGACAGTGCACTGCTTGTAAATTCACATTGTTTGGAAAAATTCTTTTGGAACAAAAAATTAGGTACGTGATAACTGGTACCTTATCTACTGTAAATATTTCATTAAAAATGATGCACACATAGATATATTCTTACAAATTTTGCTGTATTGCTGTTCCATTTGAGGCTCTCCAAAGTCTTGAGTTCTGTATATGGCCTGGTTTCTTGTTTTTGTTAATAGATGGTTTATTTACTATGGTAATGTATTAATTTATTTTTGGTGTTGTTTGATTGTCTTTCATTGAAGAGATAATTTTAATGTTTTATTGGGAACGTATGCTGCTTTTTCATTAAAATATGTTATTAAAATTAAATGGCTTTTAAAATGTGATGTTATTTTAATCATTTATGTGGGAAGTGTTTTGGTGGGAGACTTTTTAAAAGGAGGAAGCACATTTTGATGATTTATTAGGGAGTGGTTGTTATGAAAGTATAGCTTGGACTTAGTAGGGGCTGTTTCTCTGGTAAAGTATTAAAGAACAAGGTTTATAACAGCTTTTTAATAGTGAGAGCTCATCTCACAGGATACTTCATTTTCCTGCCCAGAAGAAATTACGATATTTGGCTCCAAATATCTCCCTTGGAGTTCTTCCTTCAGACTTGCAATAATTCTGCAAAAAGAATCTTTATAAGAAGAGATATTGGATGGAAACAATTTCATGCATTCCCTCCCATCTCTCAGGAGTAAAAGTAAGAAAGGAACTCAGCTTACTTTTTAGCAGCTCTAGGAGACTGGGTGTGGCAAGAGCCAAGGCCTGGTCGGAGGAGTACAGCACCCTGGTTGAGGCCCAGAAACGAACCCACTATAGCCTTCAGTTTGGTCACCACCACGGGAAAGCAACAAACCCAGACAGAGCAGGAAGCACCTGAGTTGCTGGCTTAGGAAGTAAAGTCTCTCTCTCTCTCTTCCCTCATTTCCCATGACCTTTAAGGAAACTCACACAGCAGAGTAGGGCTGAGGAAGAAATGCTATGTAGTTAGAAGTAGCAAATTTTTGCCCTCTTCTGTGATTCACCCTGACACCAGAGTTGGTGGGAAGTCTGTCTGACTCTGGTTTGGCACTGACACAAGAAAATTCATCATGCTTGATGCAGTCATTTCTTCTTCTGATCCTAGCTTAAACACATCTCTCCACTATTTTAATAATATTCAGACTCCCTACAACAGTTGGACAACATACTTAATATCAGGTTTTCAAAGATTTTTTTCCCTCAGTAAGTGTCTGGTTTAGATATTTGTGTTATTAATATCTCATACTATTAATTAATATAAGAATATCACGCTAATCTATAGCTCAAATGAGAGGAAGAACTAGATCTTTCTCCAGGAGTAATTCTATTAACCTGAGCTGTGACTCCTCTGATATGGAACTATCTTGAAATGTTTCTTATTTTGGAGAGAAGATTAGGAAATACCCTATGAGTTAATGAAAGTTGTTACAGTGACTCAAGTTGGGATTAAATATTGTTGGAAATATCATAATTTCTGGATGTAACAAAAAGCATTGTGAAAGTTAGATGGAGAATGGGTGGAAGAACCCCTTTTTATCACTGAAATAAGAAAGACACCTGAAGAAACAAAATCTGAGTGTCCATTAGAAATAATGAGATATTGCATAGGTGCCTAAGAAAACATTAAAACTTGTAGGAATTTAAAAGAAAAAATTGTGAGTTCAAGTATAGTAATACTGATGGTTTAATTCTATTTCTGTCTTGAAGACTGAAAGTTTCTTCTTCTGTTTCCCTTTGTATTCTTAGATTCGGTTTTCCTGAAAGTCTTTTCAAACAGTCAGCATATGCTGAGTTAAACTCAGCTCGGTACAATGCTGAGTACTAATTTCAGTACCATGGATAGTAACTATAGCACTCAGCTCTACTCCAACTCACCTTTGACCAAAAAGTTTTTAGCTAGCTAGACAACCTTCTGCTTTCTTTCTTTCTCCAGAGTGGAGAAAATGAATAAAATGACTTGAATGTGCAACAGATTCAGCTTGCTTATCTAGGATAAAAATGATATTCAATAAATAACACAGTTCCCTTCTCATATGTGGATTTTTAGTGAAAGCGAGTTAGCTGGCAGGAAATAAGACAGATGTGCTAGTGTCTTATTTCTACAAATATAGCATCTATAAATGAAGACGAAAACACTGTAAAAGTAGTAGAAATTGAGAAACATATTGGACAGAAATAAAAAGGAGTTTTTAAAAGTGCTTTTGAAGTATATGACAGCTTGCATATGTGCATACATGCCTAAGATTTTTGTGAGAAAAGTGACATAACAACAACTATCCATATATACTTCCATAGTTGAGAGTAAAGGCCGATGTTTTCTCCTGATTCACCAGGTGTTCTTTGTCTCTCGTGTTCCTGGACTTTCAAAAGTACATCGCATTTTGTTAATCTTCTCTGTGTTAGGGTAAGAGAAAACTTTCTTGTCTGCAAAATGGAAATACTTTCATTCTTAGAGCATGCTTAAATATGTGTTGTATGGGAAAAGCTGAAAAGAAATATATTCTGAAAGTTTTTACTAATGAGAGTCGCAGAGATACAGAGACAATACCAAACCAAAGAGATTTGGAGAGAAGAGGTTGGTCTTAAAGAAAAAATTAAAGCTAAGAATAGGCTGAACCATGTATAAATTGTTGAGAAATATCCATTTGGTGTTGACTTTCAAAATACTCAAATGGATAAGTAGTAGAATGTGTCTGAAAATTCTTGTCATATCAATCAAATCTGCTGGCATTTATGACTTATTTCCTAATTTTCCCCAAGGTCCACAATTGCTATTTTGTTGGAAAGAGATATATTATGAATTGACTTAGTAGCATATCTAGACATCTTGAATATTATGTTTCAGTATTATGTAGTTTATTTTTTAGACTTCCCTAAAAGCAAATGATCCAATCTTTTTGTTCAATGTGGTCATCTAAATCCAAACTGAAATGGAACAGAAATGATCATGTAAGCCCTGGTTGATATCTAAGCACCCTTCATAGCAAAACATTATAACACCATCCAGAAAGAAGTAAGTTTCTTTCAGATATCTGACATTACATCAGTTGATCGACTTTTTATCAGATTATGTTTCATTGACACATAGCTTGGGGAAAAATAATGTAAGTATGAAAAAGCAAATGAAGTAGTTAGGATTTACATACAATGTAATACTCTTCTTTTTTCCATAAAGTTGATTTTTAAAAATAAGTGATAGTACATAACACCTTTCAATATCAAGGAGAGATCCTGTTACTTCTCTTTGTGAAGAGAACTGAAACTTTTTCAAGATAATTGAAATTTGAGGGATAAAAATGTTTTATCTCAAACTTCAAATAAATCAATTTATTTTGACCTATCTATTCGAGAAGCTCTTGAGAGACAGTGAAAAATGCACAGAAAAATTCTCTTGATTTTAAAAATAATATTATTCAGAGAATGAAGTTCAAATTTTTCGAGGTGGGCAATGAGAGTAAGTTTAGAAATTTGTTTTTGGAATTGTTTTGCAAAAACCCTTTATATCTCTAGGTAAATGATTCATATTAGAACTCAAAACTTCACTTTACTTTTCAGTTGGTCTTGGAGGGGGTTGCTGCAACAGAAGGGAAAAAAAGTTGGATTGGTATCCTGTAGGACAAAAAGGAAGATAAAGGTTTTCG